TGATGACGTCATACCGGGTTATTGCGGTGAATTCTTGCAATTACAGGTTCCTGTAATATGGAGTGTGCGTGGAAGGGATTGTTCCGAGTCGTTTCGAAATCGCTACGTATATTTAATTAGGGTTCGGGTTCTGTGATGACGTCATAGCGACCTGGGTCACGTCTGTGGCGCCATTTGGAGTACATAGTTCGATTCAGGGTTCGGGTTCTGTGATGACGTAATAGCGACCTGGGTCACATCCGTGGAGTCATTTAGAGTACATAGTGTCAAGTTTTTTGTGTCGTATAACAGGATGCTGTCGGGGAAATAAAAATCAAATACAATAAATATTGAACTGTTTATTAAAAAATTATAGATTATTAAAATAGATACAATTATCAGTGACCTTATTGATCAATTGATATAATATATACATAATATGAGTTAAAGAGAGATAGATAATACATTATTTCAAATATACAATTATTAGTGACCTTATTGATTAGTTGGCATAATATATACATAATACAAGTTAGGGAGAAAGAGATAGAACGATACATTATTTCAAATATACAATTATTATTAGTGACCTAATTGATTAATTAACATAATATATACATAATACGAGTAAGAGAGAGAGAGAGATAAAATGATACATTATTCCAAATATACAAACAATTATTAATATTGACCTTATAAATTAATTGACAAAGTACATACATATACGCGTTAGAGAGAGAGAGAAAGAGAGAAAACATATTGATGCTCAACATTACTATACTTTTAATTCGTCACCAACATCAAGACTATAATGCCCCCAGGGAAGAGTATTGAAGGAATTGGGCACTAAGAAACGTTTATCGTCAGCTGGACTTAGTGCAATTTTTGATTGTTCAATGCTGAACACATTATGTTGAAAAGACCGAATGGTTCTCTGCGTTACGGTACTTTCTTTAAAATTTTTCAAACAATCAACGTAATCTTCAAATGCAATTTTATACTTGACTATATTTTTTTTGACGCCTTTCGATTTTTTCACAACTTTTCCCTTAAGGGTCTTGAAGCTGTACATTTTGGATCTCAGGCCTACTTGGTGAGTCATGATATCACCATTCAGTTCATCTTTCATTAAACCTAAAACCTTTTTATTGACCTGCGGTATGTTATAGGGGTTATCTGGAGGGTAGTCTGATGTATCGAATTTAGACAAGTCGGCTTTGATGACTTCTTCATATACATCATCGGTTTCGATGTCATATATGAAGCTGTCGGTGTCCATATATTGAATGTGACATTTTTCTGAATCTAATTTGGACAACATGTAGTCGTAGTGAAATGAATACATGAATATTTTCGAAATATCCAAAATCGACATGCCTACATACAATGGTTTGTTGAAAAATAGTTCGGCTTTCTTCAACTCAACCAACAATAAATCATCATCTAAAATGGTTCTACTATGAAATCTTGGACTAGATATTAAATTTTTCGCACCATACCGCCCTTCCCACGTCTTTACAAATTTCACAATCCTATGATTTCGTATGTTTTCCATAGTCTTTCCGAACACCGCGTTATTGAACAATTTAAAAAGATTTTTGTCAAAGTCATTCTTACTCTGTTTACGTAAGTTATTGTTATGCTCGATATAGGGCTTGAGCCACATTGACTGCTTAAATTTTAAAATCTTGCGAATTTTCTTCAGAACTAAGCCATGTTTCAGTGCCTGTTTTAAATTTCGATAATGTATAACATAGTTTTTCTTGTCATACAGCGTGGTCATTAATTTCGGTAACTTTGAATTTGGCGGCTTACGATGTTCTGCCGCGAATGGTAAATCTTTATGTAAATCATGTAAGTGTCTAGGATATTCCAAATCAACTTCCAGGATGTA